CTGAACCGCGCTCTGTACAGTTTAGGCAAAAATTCATTAGGTAAAAATTCCGAAACGCCATCTCTCCGTCGTCGAGAATCATCGTCGTGTGATGTTTATTGTCTTACTTACGTTCGCTATTTATTGTCAGATTGTCCTTTCGAGAGAATCGCATCATACGCGAGAAAAACGCACGACGACGCGCGCGGCTGTTCAGAGCTGCGCGTGTAAAAGAAGGAAAGACGGAGGATTAGAGAAATTTTTAGCTAAGGCTTGCGGCTGCGTATATTCGCAGCATCTGCTGCCGTGCGACGTACTCAACTCAGGCGTGAGATCGAGATCGCCTGAGGGGCAAAGGAAAATAAAGTCCACGCACCCATAAATTTCAATGTTTAGTATTCTCGCGATACACACGTAATCTCACATATGGTCAAATTTTCATGCGAATCGGAGTCTTTCGAGAAGGGAAAAGAAAAAAAAATTAGATCGCACATCAGGCATCTCGTAACGCGTCGCACGGCGCTATTATAGTTTATTATACTTTATTCCTAAGTGTAGTCAAATTCATACGCGTCGGCGCAATATTTAGGTAAAATTAAAAACGCGACCCCAGCGTACGTCGCCCCGCGAATTAGAAGTCAATTTAGTCGAGGTTAGCCAAAAAGTAAACGAAAAATGCAATGGAGGATAACGAGTCACTATGCAGCTTTAACGAGACGTTTACGTTGCCTGTAAAGGATCCCCGGAATCTCGCGACATTCCGGCGATCTTTGCTCTCTTCGCTATGTTACACACACACACACACACACGTATACAGTATTCTTCGTCACATTGTCCATCGCCGTTCCCCCTTATTCTCGTTCGTACTCTTGTTTCCTTTCGTAAATATTCTCTGTAAATATTATTTTGTAGCGCGTTTCTACGAAGAGCAGGCCGCGTAAAAGCACTTACCCTGTAACATAGTAGATACGTAAGTAGGAAAAAAGAAAGTATCGTTGTCTTATTACATGACGCGTTTTTGTCCCTGCTTAGTTCCACTTCTCGTCGTGGCCTTCGCGGACTCGAGCGTGTGCGATCGGTGATTAGATAGAAATTATTGAGAAAAGGGAGAGATCGGTCTTTGCGTATTCCTTTCCGCACGTTCGTTCGTACAAAGAGGAAGCGATGGAGAACACAAGTCATATAAGAAACGAGAAAAACGACTTCGTTTTCCCTCCTTTGCAAAAGACTTTACATACCTGAGAAAGGACCGTAGATAGCAATATAGACTCACGTTTCAGAGTTGCTAGCTTTAAGAGATGCTAGTAAAATTTGTTTAGAGCGTGTCGTCGTTTAGTTATGTCGTTGTCATTAGTACGATTATTATGGTATAATTTTTAGCGAAATTACGATTATTATCGCTCGCGTGTAATTGTTGCGACAGTCGAGTATGCGTACGAGTATTACGAGTATTCATTTTTTCCCTCGCATATAAAATATAAATTAGATATTTAATTATTATACGACCTCGCTTTTTGTTAATTTATTCCTATCGTTACTTGCCTCGAATTATTTATTTTCTATTATTATCATTTTCCTTCTTTTTAAATATCGCGCGAGAGAATAGCAGCGCATTCGTCATATATAGAGATTACAGAGACTAGTGTTACTATCGCTACCACTATACACACACTCTGCGACTATATTTACTATTTATCTTATTATATATATATATCGCTCTTACTACTATTATCTATTACTATTACTATCGTCACCACTGCGTTGTTGCTATACGTTATTGCGTACATATATATATTATATATATTCTATATTACACGTCAACTATTGTCGTTAGACTTAGCTGTTTTTAAGTATACACGTTTATTGTAAATACGTACTGCCGCGTTAATAAGAGAGAAAATCGAGGCGCGATTCGACCAGGGATATCGCAATCGAGCCGTAAACCGAACATGTACATAAAGTTGTATATTACTAAATATATACGCGCAAGAAAAGATATATAGATATATTATATATATATATATGTATAAAATATTTATGAGACAGAAATGTGAATAATAGATAAGGAAAGACACCGTGTATAAACGTTTCGTAGATTAAAAAACCGCGTTTAGATTTAATTCTCGTTGATACTCGGTACGGCTCGTTCGCGATTCCGCTATAACGAAAGAATCTCCTTTAGTCGTCCCCCCCCCCCTTCTTTCTCTCTCGCATGATGCAGACATAAACAGGGTATTGGGAGGACGATTGGAACGGTTGATCGGTGGTTGCGCGCGTTGAACCGTGCAATGTTCGAAAAAATGATGATTCGTTCTTTTACGGATCGACATTGTCCCCGCTTGCCCAGTGGCTTTGTCAAAATGACCGCTTTTGGCGAGCTACGTACGGTGTGGGCGGACGAAAACGGAGAACGGGCGATCAACCATCGTCGTGTCCCGATCAGACTCCTCTTTCTTTTTTCTAGTGAGAACCGATCGCGAGAGAGAATAATCGCCTAGTTTAAAATTTTGCTTTAAGCGAATCGCGTCTCGATTTTAGCAGCGTCGTAATCTCTCCATCGCAAACGAAGCACGTGCTTTTGCCGCGGAACTCTTTGGTTTATATATATATAAATATATCGCGCGCGAAGTCTTTATATATATATATATATATATAATATATATTTTTTCGAACGTAGATAAATATATAATATATTTCTCAGTATATGTAAATATCACACACGCATCAACGTTGTGCTTCTTTTCCGCAAAGAGAGAGACTACGAACTACAAATCCGATCGCCGATCTCGTATCACATATACACATACATACACACATATACATATACACATGTCAAAATCTTTTCCTTTTCTATATACGAGATAGGGAGAACGGATCGAGCGCGTCGTTTCCATCGCGGCAAACTTTGCGGGTCCTACGTTTTATGTAGGCGTTGCAAACTTTCAGATGGGAATGCGTGCTTCTTCTCAGGGGTAGTCGATGGGGAAATCGATGGCGCATCGATCTTCCGAAGAGGGCTAGGGAACGTTGACGAACATCTTTTTTTTGCATCGTCAAGCATCGCTCTCGAGATTCCTGTCGCCCTCTTCGGACTCTGTGCGTTAAAAAAATGCCCCCTTCTCACTATATTATATCATAATAAGTTAGTCGATTCGAACGTGATTTCGAAAGAAGACATGGCGAGGCGCTACGTTCACTAAGAGAAGAGATAGTTAATTTAATTAAGCTAGAACGAGTTGCCCAGAGGAGATGAATACTTAAATCGGAACTCTTACACTCCCCTCCCCCACCCC